CGAAAGTAGTCGGAGGACAAGCTTTAGGCAGTCTAGGTCGTAGCGTGTTCGATTCTCGGATCGGACGTGTGCACATGGTGTGTCGTACTGTTGACTCACCTGATCATTTTTTTTTTTTCTGATTTTTTTCTGATTGTGGTCCAAAAAAGGTTGTCTGAGCTCTCTGCTGAGTCTGCTCTTCTTTCTTTGCTATGCTCATCTATGTCCTAACAGTGCAGCAGAGCCAAGTGCCGCATTTTCATCGCTCTTTGTCAGTTGTTGTCGTATGTATAGTATATACACATTGTTCTGGTCTTCATCCTTGAGGGTGTCATCGTACTCGTTGTGGTTTGATGAACCATCTTATCGTAGGATGTCTCCGAGGCGGTTGAGGACGTCAATATAGCATCGTAGGCAGGACAACGGGTGTGGTTGTGCGAATGGTTGTGCTATTCTGTGCCGAGCACGACCTTTCCAATGCTGATCACCCAAAGAACGCCCTTAGCGACTGCCTGCAGACCGACTTCCTCCCTACATTTTGGGTCCGACTTTAACTATACCGGAGAGAGAGGGACTGAGGTGATACTGCGACTGCACGTGTTTCCATTCCTATTCGTATACTGGAGAAAGAGGGACTGAGTGCTGAATGGATTTATTTGGTTAGCGATTCTGATGGGATTTGAGGTTTACAGTAGGACCATGTAACAGCTGCTCGAGGAGGGTGGCCGACGGGGGGGGGCGTTCGGTGCCACAAGGAGTTAGTCGATCTCACCGTTTATATGAGACTGGGTTTCCATCGTAGGAGGTACCGTCTTCCTCGTAACACAACAACGCACCCTCATTTTGGCGGCACCGGACCGGAAAGATATCGTGCATACTCGTTATCAGGGTTCGTTGTGTTCGGGGGAAGACGGCAGCGGAGGCTAGGAGTCGTTCGAGGAAATCCCCGTGAGTGTACCATGAGATGATGAACGAAGCACAGAAAGACGTTGACGGAACTTTTTGACTGAATCTAGCCGTAATTGTGGCCACATCCGTTTCAGGGAGTCCTTCTGGGAGTATGCCCTGAGGTAGAGCATGCAAGCACAGAAAGATGTCGGAGAAAACACCCCTTAGATGCCCATGTTCGATCCAGGTTCTTGGAGACTGATCTGGATCGAACGTGGGCATCTAAGGGGTGTTTTCTCCGACATCTTTCTGTGCTTGCATGCTCTACCTCAGGGCATACTCCCAGAAGGACTCTCTGAAACGGATGTGGCCACAATTACGGCTAGATTCAGTAAAAAAGTTCCTGGATCCAGGACTTTCGGCAGTAACTGTGTGCCTTTTTCGTCAACAGGAACTGGATCTGATGAAATCAAGTCCTCAGGTCTGGGATTCTGCACTGACACGCTGGAGTTGCGATGGGAATAACAAATTTATCGGATTGGAATCGCTGGAGTTGCAATGACATTCGATCAGGGGCGTAACATGTTCTCTTGGCCGTACGGGCGTCTGTCCCCGTGGTCTTGAAGAGCAGGGCGTTGAAACAACCTAACTGAGGACCGATGCGCCTTCTCTGCTGCTGGTTGAGTGTCTTGAGGAAGCAGGAATGTCGGTAGATTTGAGCTGGTGCTCTGCGCTGACGACAGGAGTTGCCTGTGCGGAGTCTGTGCCGCGACTACTATGGTAGAGCGAGCAGGCACCATCCTCCAGTCAGACTGAGAACTGGCATGCTCTTTTTTTTTTTTTCTTTTGGGAAAGAACTTCAAAGAAGTGGCATGGTCTTCAATCTGCCTCTCTCCCTGTGATTCAGTGTGAGCACTGCCTGCTGAAATGGTGTCGTTTGTGCAGCTTCTACAACTACTGATTGTGATGGCAGACCAATAACCATCTAGTGATTGTTATGGGGAGACACATAACACTCTTGAAAAGGGTTTAGGGTTCAACCTCTTTAGGGTTTAGAGGTTAGGGTTAGGCGCGCTTTTGCATGTTGCTGAGCTTTCACTGTGTGGGGGCTTGGGAGGAGGTGGTGGAAGTCTGTGTGTACTGGACTCCACACATCCATTGTGTCGCCTTGGAGCTGGAAGGGGTGCGGATGGTAATCTGCTGCTTTCAGACTTTCAGATGCTCGCAATTTTCAGAAGAGGGTGTACCATCCCAGGAGACGTGGTGCACCTCTGGGCCCTTGGGAATCCTTCCAGCCTTCGAGCTGTGCTACAATAGAAAATGGCGGATTGTTGTGTCGAGGCTTCGATGTGGGAATACGTTCTTTGTTACAAAACCGGACTTTCAAGAGATTCCCAAATGATACAATGTCTTTGATCATGATAGGATAGCATATGCCGGGCAGAAGTCCGACATGCGTCGTATTTTGTGTGTCCACGACTCCGTGTGGAGGTGTTAATTTCATACTCAAAGAGTGATTTCTCGGTGACGTCATTTTGGCAGGGGGGAGGGGGTGGGGAGAGCAGTAAATAAGCCATTCCTGGTGCTGTTTTGGACCCCCCATGGACGGTTAACATGGCATGGATAGTTCAGTGGGTATCTTGCACTCTCATGCCTTTCTTTCCTTGGTCCACTGATCTGATGACATTTGGACCAGTTTGTCGACTATGGCAGTTTTGCCTGAGGGATATGGGGATGGCTATGTGTAGTTTGACTTTTGTTGTAGCAATGACTCGTCGTCGCGGGCAAAACTGCCAACTGACTTGAAAAAAAACTACGCGCTAATCGTGGTAACGTATTCACTGTGTCGGGCGGAAGTCCGACATGCTTCGTATTTGTTGTGGTCCTTTGATTGGGGTTGCCAAGCATACACTGTTGGCATGATTAAGCTACCCCTCCCATGCCTTGTGTCACCTATGAGAGTGACCAGCTAGGTCTTAAGGGCAGTTAAGGGCAGATATTTGGTAGGCTCTCTTGATGTCAGTTGTCGAAACTAC